CTGAATGTCATCTTTTAGATGACATGCAGAAGGAAAAAGAAAAATTTTGCGTTCTGTCGTCTTCCTACTTGATACATATCACCTGTGTGTTCAAAGAATCGACTATATTTCTCGCTTCGAAAATCTATTTTTTCGCACTGAAATAATGAAAATAGAATTCGTGTGCAGTTGATTATCTAAAGCAGAATGCAAAAGAAAGAGAGAAATTGTGATTTTTTTCAACTTTGTGCAGAATGAAAGAAAATGTCAGGATTGAAAGAGTTAAGGTTTTTATGGAGAAGTATCTCCGCATTACTTTTGGTATGTTCTAACGAGGAAACATTCCCAAGTGATCCGCTCTGTTTACATTCATATTATGCCCATATGTAGAGGACCATTAGATTAAAATAATTGTCAAAGAGTTCGTGCTCTTGTTGAGATTTTGCCGAAATATCAAATTTTTAGTGGTTTTTTCCTATAGGACATTAGTTTTCGAGTAAAATTATATCTTCGAATTTTGATCTAAAATTTTGTCAACATGAAGTTTTTGCTATGATTAGCTCATATATAAAGTTTTATCATTTTTAGACATTGCATCTTTGAAATACAAATTTTTCAAAAAATATGCTGTTCTATACATTCATACGTACAATGTAAAGCATTGATATTTTGAAAGATTCATATGTCAACGACATAATATTCAGTAATGATGAAACTTTATACATGAGCTAGTCATAGGAAGACCTTCATGTTGACAAAGTTTTAGATCAAAATTCGAAGATATGATTGTACTCGAAAACTGACGTCCTATAGAAAAGATTCACTAAAAATTCGATATTTCGGCCAAATCTCAACAAGAGCATGAATCTTTTGGCGATTATTCTAATCTAATGGTACCCCACGCATGGACATAATATGAATGTAAATGAAGCGGATCACTTGGGAATGTTCCCTTGTGAATGAAAAGACAAGTAATCGACTCAGGTTTCTATTCTACACTCACCATTTGTAGAACAATACCAAATTTTGAAGGTATTCTTGCATCATATTGAATTTTGTCCTGAAATATATAAAGTGATATAAAAAAAATAAGCAAAACCTTACATGTTTTCTCTTGTCTATATACTTCTCTTCCTCCTATTCATCAGAACATATTACATCAAACAATTGTATTTATTTTCAGAAGGTCGAAATTTACCATTACTTCTACTGTATGAGTCAACTGAGCTTGAAGAGAACTATCACTACACATTTGTGGCTATCAAATCTGCAAACTTTATATAATTCTTCGGAAGATGGTCGTTCGCTACTTTGGCTTTTTCCGCACTTGTCGATGGACCAAGAAATGCTATGCATATATGATTATTTCAATGATTCTCTTGCTCGTATATCAGTTCCATAAATATCTCTTTGTCATTAATAGTAAATTATATATGCTACACATGACAGCGATGGAAAATGAGTCACTTTCATTAGTACCCATAGCAGATGAAGATCGTTCGCAATTACTGAGTGACAGATGTAATTATTCAGACTCAGCAGCATACAATATACATAAGTCTAATGTGTCTCATTTAATACGCCAGTATCCTAGGCTCAATGCGGTTATATTTCCACTGCGATCTCAATCTATGATGTATTGTGCTATTCCAAAAATAGCGACAAAAACTCTCCTTTCGGTCATATTTTATATACACTTTCGTCAGATCAATGACTATCTCAAAACTAATTGGACAAATGTTGACAGTAAAAGAACTCGAACAGAAAAAAATTTCAAATTTCAGACGATTGTCAAAGAACTTCAAAAGGTATGGTGAACAAACATTAATATTGATGTGAAGAGTCTATTCAAACCTCTAATTTCAGAGTGGAATCACAATCTCAAAGAAAAAAGAACCGACTACGCTGGCATCATTTATTCCAATGTTTCTCAATGTCCTCCGATATGGTAGAATAGATAATGCATCTACTTCTCGACCTATAAATCCTTGGACACTCAGTTTAAAAAACATGCTTCCCTATCTTCAGTTCAAATATCTATCAAATCTATCTCATATATTCTCTCCATCTTACACTCGATTTCTGTTCGTTCGGCATCCATTCGAACGTTTGGCATCAGCTTATAAAGACAAAATCGCGACGCTCGACCAAAAGAAGATCTGGTCAGAACCTTACTATGATGGTATTCGCGAGACAATTTGTCGTAAATTTTCACAGTCTAAATTGCTTCATCCTAATAATATAAAGCTCAACACGGCTCAGTGTAACACTGCTATTCCTTCATTCGAAAGTTTTCTTGAATATATTCTTTTCACCCGTAAAAATTCCACGAATATAGCTGGAATGGACGTTCATTGGCAGCCATACTCACGACTGTGTCAAGTCTGTAAATTCAAATACAACTTTATTGGTAAATATGAAACATTTCATGAAGACTTCACCAGTTTGCTTCAACGTCTCAATTTATCTGATTGGAATGTTGGACAGCAACGTGATGATACATCAGGTCACACCACATGGAGATACCAGCATATGTATTCATCCTTGCCAGATGAGTTGATCTGTCGGCTCAGAGATCGCTACGCTGGCGATTTTCATTTATTCAACTATCCATTCGAAGATTACATTAATCGACCCACTTTGGTTTGTCCGTCGCAGTTGAAACTAGAAAAATCGGATTGGTAGTACGCATGAATATATCTCTCTCGACTACACCTATAGAGAAACGATGTCTTCCGAAATAAAACAAGACTTGCGACAAATTCCAATGTAGACAAAAACTTTCATTCATTTTGGTTCGCCGAGGAGATCATTTATATTTTTGCTGACATTTCACCAAAGTACTTGAGAGTGGTGTGTGAGAAATATCCTTTGCTTGTTTTTCTAATTAAAAGTATATGACGTAAAATGCTTTGTATATTTACGTAATACCTTCGTGTAATTGTTGTTGAATGATTATTTGGTTTCTTGATGAGGAAAAATATCTTCAATCATTTTCAGTAGGCAAATACTCTTGATCAATATTCAATACATTGATGAAATCAAGCGGATTGTATACATGAGCACATGTCAAATGACATAGAAAAAGACAATAAGACGCAAGAACTACCAATGACTGTTCACTAAAATAAGAGTATTTACTTTTCATATTATTCTACAGTGATATGTATAAAAAAAGAGGATCAGGTCTTTCGTGGAACCTTATTATAAATGGATGTTGAAATATATAGCCAAAACGGTAAGTCACATCCTCCGTAAGCTCCTCACCCCTCATGACAAACTTTAGCAACAGCCTCCTCATTACAGACTTTAGCAGGCGAGGCAATTGGCATCAGGCTCTTATTTTAGAGTTTCTTAACAACGAAAACAAGCGCTGAACGATATTAATAACAAGGCTTAGAAGGTTCTAGAATATTCGAAAGCCTTCGTTGAAATCTGGATAGCTGGAATATGTTTGTGAATGTTTTAAGCAGTGTAGTTTTTTTATTTTTGCGCAAAATAAAAACGTATATTCAAGATGTCAAGGATGATGGGTAATCATGTATCGATTTGCTATAGTTCTTATATAAACAGCATAAAAAGTGGAAGTTGATGAAATTATAACTTTGGAAAACAAATAATGTCATTTATCTCATTTGAAACTTGTTTTGATATTTCATGTCGTGATAGTATTACCAAATTTTGGTCATAAGAAAAACCTATCAGAACAAGAGCGCAAGATGACGTAAAAGACACAACGAGTGGAAATACAATACACCTACTCCTTGTACCGAATGAAGAAGAACTCAGTAAATTTCACAAATCGTATTAAAATGATTTACTATAAAAAAATAAAATCAATTCGAATTTCTAAATTCTAGACACTATGAAAACAGAACTATGCAAGAGAATGTAACCGTCCTAGAAAAACTATTTTTCACATATTCTAGAAATACTTTAGTTCGAATAGACACATTTCAAACATTATCGTTGAAAAATAATGAAGATTGAATGTCTATGAATCTAACTTTTTTTTCTATTATCACATGTCAGTTTGTTCCACAAAGATGCTCGATTTTTGTGTTGTTTCTTTATAGTAACGAAAAAGAAAATAAATGTTGGCTTAATTAATTAATCATTTTCTATCAAAAAATGAGGAAGATATCTTTAATTTTTGCTGATTTCTACCATGTTCTCGGTCTTAATCATATTTTTTTTTCAAAAATTTCTGTCTGCTTAAATGTATTGTTTCAGTTGATATATTGATATTGTCCAAGTTCATCAATTTGTTGTTAATCATGTCTTCGTAGACATTATTGAATTGTTCAATCATATGTCTAAAACTGATCAAATTCATTAACTAATTCTTGAATACATCCTATGAACAAAATACTTGTTGTAGATATTTTTCAACGATTTTAGATGCTTTTTCAAATGATGTCATATGTCTGATTAATTAATGATTCCATAATCTAGTTATTAATATTTTGTTTAATTAACATAATTTTTTTGTTTCATGTTATATAAGCAGTAAGAAAGCGGTAAGCCGTCGTTGTTGTTTATCTGTATTGGATACTAAGTATTAATAGGTAATTCATTGTTGAGTTCACCTTGAACGGCGCCAATCCAGGTGAGAAAAAATGGACAAATCAATAGTGACATCATTATTTGATGTATTTTATTTTGAAAATCACAATAAAACAATGATGTTCTTCTTCTTTTTTTATTTTTGTATTACACAGATGAAGACTAAAGTATATATCATGAAAATAAAATGTACCATGACTCAAGATAGTCAAAATAGCTAAGTCGACGATTGAATGACCAGCATTCAATTTGAAAGATATTTATCATAACAATTGTTTTACTTATTCATGTAACTGTACATGATGTCATTTTGCTTAAAGATACAATAATGTTATTTTGAACAATTCATTTTAATTGTTTATTATTCACTTATAAAAAAATAATTTATAAAAAAGGAAAAATTATAACAACAATGCAGTGAAAAGACAAAAACTGAACGGACAGTTTCAAAATTTTTACATTTTCTGATTTGTTACTACGGCATCATAACTTGGTGGTGGCTCATCATATTCGAATACTGGAGCACTAGCTATAGGTATTTGGATCGGATTGTTCATTAGCTGTTGTTCCGCTGATATTGGTTCAGTACCAACAATGACTGGCACACTTATTTTGAAATCAGTAAATAATCCACGTACTTTTACATCTAATATTAATTCGTAGTTAATTGAAACTCCTAGTGTTACACTACATGATTGTGACATATATGTATAAGTAGGCGATAAGTATATGGCAGGCACAATAAGATCAAAAGTTCGTTGTAATTCTGTGTCATTAAAATCACGTAAATCAGGTAAATCTAATCGAAAAATAGTTTCTGCATGACAACTGTGAGCAACTTGTCGATGTTGTATTAATGATGCTTCAATTTTTTTAATTTCTGTTCGTTTAGGATTTTGAAGATTAATATGAATAGAAATTTTGTCACCAGGCACAACACCACCTCTCATTAAACATCCTTGTAATCGAATTTTCTTTCGATTTTCATTTGAAAAAGGCATTTGTTGTTGTCCACCGGCTATATGAAGAATATTAACACGAGGAAAAATTGTTAATGGAAAAACTTGTTTAGCATTTGGTTTGTACCATGGTTTATCAAGAACAATACGTGTATAGTATTTAACATAAGGATATGAAATTGTTGATGGAATTAATGATGGAGGTAAACATGCGGGTAAAACAAATTCAAATGGCCATGAATGTTGACCACGATAAAGAATTATTTCACGCTAAAATTTATAAAAAAAAACACAAAAACAAAAGAAAATCTTTTTAATAAATTCTTTATTTAGATTTTTTACTTGACCATATTGAGGTTGAGCAACAGCAATACGAAAATTTAGAAATGGTATTTGATGATATTTTGTATACTGTTCTGTTCTATGATGTCCATCTTTATCATGATAATGACGATGTTCTAGTGTTGTATATCCAAGTTCACCAACACATTCAAGAAAAATTGCATCTAATATTAATTTTTCTTCTGTATTTTGAAATGCAATATTGCCTGATATTTGTTCACCAGCAAAATAGAATAAATTTGGATGATTGAAATTTACTTGAATCGCACTACTTCCATTTGCACCCATACTGTTTTTAGTAATTATACTGATTATATTAATTTATCACACTCAATATACAACTACAAGTTTATATTTATGAAGAAGTTGATCATATGAATAAATTTAAAAAAAAAATAACTATGATTAACCAACTATGTCACTCAGTAAACATCATACTAATAGTGAATATTCTGACGAAAAGAAAAGAGTGTGGCGAGAAGCACCAATTGACTATATCGATGCACTATCAGTGGCGACGTCTGGTTCACATCGTCACATCAGAAAAAAGATTATAATAGAAATAGTGCAAATCAGGTGCCGTACAAATCTATATATTCTATTTTTGTCTAAAATGAGTCTTACAAGCAAGATATTATAACACTACAACTATGGAAGTAGTTTTAAATGAGTAGTATAGACTTGTCCTGACAGAAAATTTACAATGACAGCGCCATCAGTAATATCTGCGAGATGTTGCAGATAAGCTTCATTATTTAGACCCATCAGAAAAATCTAATATGCAAAAAACTATCATCTGACATAGAGTAACTGTCCTCAAAAAAAAATATGAGCTTTCGAAAATGAGTTTCATCCTAAGTGCATAAATGAATTTGCATTCTATAGTCGGATCGATGATTCATATGTACGTGGTCCTGAGCTAGAAGAACAAAAAAAAAGAATAATGATGTCTTGCTCGTTGTATTTTTTTTTTCGACATTCAAAACAAAAAAAGAACGAAATTATAGATGATGATAAGATTGGTGTTTTTAACAATGAAAGAGCAGACAAGTCAAGGTATGGTTGTTTTAACTGCTCTTGTAAATCTTACTCATCGATATCAAATAAGAAAGTATCTAGGTTTAAACATGAAGATAATATAAAAAGAAAAGAGAAAAAAAAACAAAATTTAATTAATAACACTCAAAGATAAGAAACAATGACTAATTTATAATTCAATTCCTTTTTTTTTCGATTGAAATAGCAAGTATTACATACTTTATATCATGCAACATCAGATTGCATACGTTTCAACCAGTTGTTGAAACTAAATCTTATTCTTTTCATTATTTGTTATCGATTAAAAACAACATTAGTTAGATAAGAAAGAATTAAACATGTCTTTTCCGAATATTTAATAATCATAAAAAATCTCGTTGCCATATTTAGCTCTATTAAGTGTGAATCAATATTTATTCAAAAATAAAATCTTCATTGGTACAATCTATGCTAATATATGTTTTTAGTATTATAATGAATTATAGAAAATACTGCTTTATTCAAATAACTGAATATCTTCAGGTATACTCATATAATTACTCGAAATAAACCTATTTATTTTGAATTTTCTATTAATTAAAAGCAAATTCATCGAAAATTGTATATAGATAGATATTCGAAATGAATATCAATCAATATCTATAGAATGATAATAACTTTGTTATTAGGTTGTCAGAGCCATAATTTACTGATCAATCTGTTCAGATGATGCCTACAGCAAAAAATCCGTCTAAGTAACAAAAAAAAAAAAGAACTGTAAGCGAAAGCAAGATAAAGATATATAGCAAGAAGAACAAATAAAATGTAATAACATATTTTTTTAAAATTAGCAAAAAAAAATGGATGATCGATTCGAATAGATCATCATCATTAAAATATAATGCATATACATAATATGTTGAGTTTTTTTTTTTCTTTTTTTTTTTTGGTCAACATTTTGAAGAAGGATGTATAGGATAAGAAGTCTTTGTCAGACGTTGTTGAATATAATTTTAAACATTATCATCGTCGTCATCATGGCGCTATAGAGAGAGAAAATAAAATTAATAAAAATAGATTCATCAAATACAAGCTTATTGAAGCAGACAAAAAGAAAAAGAATATTATCAGATTTCATGTTTGTTTTAATATTAACAATGAAGAATGAGAGAATATTCTAGAAACTAATATGTAGAAAATAAGCATATAAATTAAATATTTATAAGTTAATCGCTAATCTAGAGATATTAAATATTAATACAAGTAAAAAAAATTTATATAAATCGGATTTATAAGGATTAAATTAAATATAAAAAAAAATACCCTTTCTTCTTCTTCTTTTTTGTTATCTACTACCAAAGCTTCTGTTATGGCTCGTTGAGCAGTTAAATCAGCTAAAGGCTCAATTGTACTGCTCTTTAACTATAGAACAACAACAAGAAAAGCCGGTGATTTCTTTTTTCAATAACAATATTAGCACAAAAATAAAAGCGTTCACCTCATTTGTTTGTGGCTGATAATGTTGTTGATATAAGTTATTTTTCTCGTGCTTATACGTCTCATATTGTTGTTGATCATAATTATTGGTTAATTTGTCAGTATTTTGCTGCTTTTCAAAGTGACTATGTTTACGTGTAAGATATCCACGAACATGTGATTGAATAACAGTTGCAGCATGATCCTCATCTTTTCTGTTAGGCTATAAAGAAGTTTATAAGCTCACACGCACACGAAATACATATTGTTTAAAACATTAGTTAAACAAAATTGAGTAAAAAAAAAAAAAAAGAAATCAATTCACATATAATCATACCTGTGTACTTGGTGAAGAAATATGTTTTTGACGTGTTGAATGAGGCAGTTGATGTTCATCTCGATTATCATTTATTTCATCATCTATTTGTATTGGTGCTGGAGGTGTACGACGTTGATAATCATCATCAAAACCTTTATTATTTATATTATTATGATGATCATTCTTATTTTGATAACCATTATGCATTCCAAATCTATCATTATTTTTATGATGATCATTATCATCATCATCATCATAATTCTTTGTTGGAGTCTAGATATAGAAAACAAAATTGGCAAATTAAAATTGCATTTTTTTGGACAAAAACAATATACTTTTATTGATGGTAATGGTGGTGAACGTCGAGATGAATCAGCAAAAGCTTGATTGGTCTTTGGTTGGCTTGGTGGTTGATGATGACGACGAGGTGTTTTCTAGATAATATTAAAAATAATATTTATAAAGAATATAAGAAGAAGAAGAGATAACATACTCCTGCATTGCCATACAAATTTTCTTCCTAAAATTGCAAAGAAAAATAAAAAAATAAGCTGATTATCTCATATCTAGATAACTTACTTCAACAGTTTCAACTTCTCGACGATCTACAGGTAAATCAACTTTTGTATCACGTGTTTCATCGATTTCACGTACATGTTCTCGATGATTTAAACGACCTTTATAAATACCTCCATCATCTAAATCAGATTTTAGATTATAATGATATCATTCTAGTGTTGTTTTTTTTCTATTATCTTCAAATATAACCTCGATCAAGATCTGTTTCTTTAGTTGGACCACGTCGATGTTGTTGTGGTTTGCTATTAAAAAAATCATCTTCTTCTCGAACAGGACGTCGACTTAAAATATATCAATCATAATTAAATTAAATAATTAAAAATAACTTACTGTCCAGTATGTTCAATACTTCCATGCGAATTTGCTGTTGTTGTATGTGTATTTGTTCCATCCGATTTTGCATATCTAAATAAAAATAAATAAATAATAACAAGCAATTATAATATATATATAAATATTAATCAAAAAATCTAAGAAGCAGAAGAACAATAAAACTAGTATAAATTTATGCTGTCTTTAGGGTTTTTGCGTTGCAACACTCAATTGTCTGTTGATTAGAATAAATAATAGTATCGGCGAGAGTTGAAGACATATATTTGTTAAATAATACCTGTCTTGCGTGGAATGAACCAATTCTGTTGATGGATGATCATCATAATAATCTTCTACTCTCCTTTGACGAGCAGGTAATCTTATTCGAGCACGATCACTACAAAAATTTATGAGATACTTTTGCCTTAATGAAGATCATGCGACTTGTTAAAAAAATAAATAACTACATGTATCAAGCACAATACTAAGATCGTTAAATACTTGTTTTTTTTTTAAATTAGTATAAATATTGTGTTTTTTTCTTTTTTTTTTTTTTTATTGTTTATCTACCGATGCAAATAACACGCTACTATTTGCTGTGTTATTTATACATCGGGTGCCTTAGTACTTACCCAAAAAATTGAAAATTCGATCTAATGTAATGTGAAAGAAAAAGAGTGCATTTTAATTGTTATATGTTGATTAGATTTTTTTTTTTTGTTTTGTCTTAATAACCATTTATGCTTATATCAAAAAGAGAAAAAAAATACATTAGTTCTACTTACGATTTTCTTGACATTTTCGGTGATGAATTTGGACTGAAGGATTTTGGATCGGGATATTCAATACGTTTGAAACGTTCTTTTCCTGCAGCAACATACATTCCATTGAATTCGAGTTGATGAGCTGATGTTATTAGTTCTCCATTCATTGCATATAATCTAAAGAGAAATATATATAGTTTTTATATGATACAGAAAAAATAAAATAATAAAATTAATCTAAATACTTTAATACAGCCGAATTTGGAAGTGATACTTTTCTAGTAACTTCATCAAGAACAGATTCCCAATTTTGTAATGTTGTTTTAACTAAAAGAATTTTTGCTGGTAATGTTAAAGGATCACCATTTCGATAGACACTAAATATAATGAAAAAATAGTTTAATTTGATAGATAAAAAATAAATATGACTTACTAAATAATAACATTTTCTGATCGAGATAATTTCAATGCTCGTCCTTCAACATCAAGACGTCGAACAGGTGGTAACTCGAATAAAAAAAAAACAAAAAAAAAGTAGAAAATTAAAATTTATTGAGGTGACTTTAATCAGATTACATTTCAAAGATGAAGCTTTACCATTATGTATGTATTATATAACAAGATAATCTATACTTATTTCTCAATTTGTCATTGTCTTATCTCAACTATTACAAGTGATACTTTAAGGAGATGAAAAGAAAAAAAAAAAGATGAACTCAACAATTGATTAAAAATAAGAGTCAAATATATGATTATCAATAAGTATATATTGATCAAATAAAAGAAATTTAAATATATATGAAGTATAAATATTGAGTATTATACTTACTCTATATTGTGTTCGATCTTTACTTTGAACTCGTTTTCCTTCTGCAATGTCAAGATAACTAAAAATAAAATATAATGAATTTAATTATAAAATAATTTTATCAAATATTCTTACTGAAGTTTTTTAAATCTTTCACCTCCAGATGCAACATAAGTTTGATGATCTTGCAAATCAGCTATATCATGTAATCGTGTACCATTCTTAGGTGTATAAATACATCTTACTGCACCAAAATTAGCTCGTAATGCTTGTGATGCATCATCTAATAAAACGTCAAGCATTGGATATTTACGTTGATTTATAACGAATGAACGTCCAGGAAAATATGAATCTCCATTTCTCATTAATTTTATAGCTCGACCACGTTCAAGTATAGTTGAACGTTGTTGTTGATGTTGTTGATGGTCATTTTGACCATGATGTGGATCATATTCGGTGATCATTTTGTAAGAAGAATTTTAATATATATGAATGTATGTATGTATGTATGTGTATATATATATATATATATGTATATGGATGTATGAAATCGAAATAAAGAGAGAGAGAGAGAGAGAGAGAGAGGGAGAGAGAGAAAAAAAGATGAAAAAGCAAATGATGATGAAACTATGATGATGTGAAGTAAGAAGCCCAAAAATAAACGTCAAGACAAGAAATAAGTTGTGATCGTGATGTTGAATGTAAGAGTATATTTGTCGTTATTATTGTCATTGCCCGAATATCAATCTGAAAGAAGAATAAGAATAAGAATAAGAACAAAAAAAAAAGTTTCTGGTATTGTAGAATGAAATGTTTTCGTTAGGCTTCAGCAGGTCAACTAGATCGACACTATTATGAAATCATTATTTCATATTACCTAAAAAGTTTGATATTGTTCATTATATTTTTTTTACACTTACTTCAAAATTTTTATCGTTAATCAAGTATAAACTTCAAACTCAGGTTGTTTGATTTTGCCAATACACCTCATAGAATGCAATAATAAGGTTGCCTGATCAATGTTTTGTAAACAGAAAATGTGGCCAACTCTCTTTCAACTATCGATCGGTTGATAGATGGATGTATAATACAAAGAGCAACGTAAAAATCAAATCAGTCGAATATATACGTATGTGTAACAGAACGTTTTTCTAATTTTCTTTTTCTTCTTTTACTAAATCAACGAACTCTATATTAATTTATTTAATAAAAATTTCTTTTGGATAAATAATCTATATATATATAATCAATAAATCAAAAAATATCAAAAGATGAATTTATCATCGATTATATAATAGTGAAAATTTTACGGTGTAATTAATCTGAAGAGGCCTTTTTTTTTTCTTACTTGGAAATCTGACTGTTATAACCTTCACTCTGTAATCGATTTGTTTGTATAGCAATTATATTTCTCACTCTCGTCGTTCTCTTTTTTCTCTCTTCATTTACATGCCAAATTTGAAAGTATGTTGGTCTCCTCCGGTGTGTGTGCGTGTGCGAACGAGCATCTCGTTTTTTGAACAACAACACAAGGCTCAGTTGCATAGCAACATTGTGTATGTGTGTTGTTCCAATAATTACTCGCGCGAAAATATAATGCTCTTTTGTGAGAACGGTAAAGAGAACATCTTGAGAGTGCAATACTATAGAAGGTGTATGCAATGCTGTAGCGACAGACTGTTGTCAAGAGGAAGGGAGAGACTGAAAAGAGAGAAGAAGGGAGGAAGGACAAGAAAATGATACGACGACAACGATGACAACGAACCATCTCATCGTTACTAGTTTGTCTGTTACATTCTCTCTTACATTTTTTTTCTTGGAATAAAGAAAAAAAAAAAGAAAAAAAAGATCAAGCTCAATGACAAACACATTAGATGATCATTGCTTACAATGTATTAACGTTATATGTAAAATTTTAAATGGTAGTGATGAATTTTAAATCTATTCATAAAAAAAAAGGTGCAATGATGCAAATAAATCAAATTTCACGATGATAAATGAATAAAGAATGAATACAATAGAGGTGTAGTTAAGAAGAAAATGCAAAGTGAGAAAATACACGTGTCCTTATTTTATAAAGTGCAATAAAAAGAATTTGAGTTGAGAAGCAAAAGAAAACGAGAGAAATGCAGTCAATTTTATACATTTTTTTACCCTCGAAGGCATGTTGTTCATTTGGCTCTTCCTTTTTTTTCTTTTTTGTTTTTACTTATTCAAACAAATATTTTTCCAATATACGTATATTTCAATCAATTCAATACTTACGAATAATTATATATTTATCAATTAATTTCATTCAAACTTTAAAATTACTTTTCAATTCTATGAAACTGTAAATCAGTTTTTTTTATCTTGTTATCTTTTATATACATAAAACTAACCTTAGTTATATACGAGGAGTACAGTCAATATATAATAATAAACTTACAAACTACGTTAAAATTAAGTTCATAGGTCATATATACGATAAATTCAACAAAGAAAATATTTCATCAAAATTGTTTATGTAAACATTAGAGTGAATAAAAAAAAAAAGCTGAAATAAATAAAAATAAAAAAAAGTAAAATCTAGAATATGTGTAATTTTTTAGAATGATATATGCAACTTCACGAACAGTCGTGAAAATTTCTTTTTCTTCTACTCAATTCTTTTGTTCACGGCACGCTTCTGAACAAGGAGCGGTAATAGGATTTTCACTTTTTTTTTCTTCTTTTTTTCTCTTTTTTCTTTCAAGCTTGTAACGTGTGCTTTTATGTCCGTATGTGTATTTGTCTTTTTGTTGGTTTTTCAACTTTGAAATGATTGTAAAAGAAGAAAAGAAAAGAAAATTATTAATAGAATAATAGAAATAAACTGTATGATTGATATGTGTTAAGAAAAAAGATTTTAACAAATAACATACAACTAGAAAATTTTGTTTTTGAAAACAACAGAAGATATTTTAAGTATATGCAATTAATAAAATACGCATGAGAGAAAATGTTTAAATAAAAAATCAGAATGCATACATGCATGATAAATGAAAATTCCTAATATGCTGATGTGATTTGAATTTAATCAGTTTACTAAATATACCAAAGAAGTTTTTGTTGTATTTCTAGAGTTTTCCAATATTATAAAAGAATACTCTGTAATGAGCAAGAAAAAATTTGTTCACGTCTCAACATTGTGTGTGCTCAAAAAACTAATATCTTAGTTTTTGCCAATAACTAGAATTCGATTAAACTTGTTTTTTTTTCTTTTCTATCTTTATGATTTGAACAATAATAATCGTCAAGTTGTTTCTGAGATTATGCTTACCTCGTTCATTTGAATATTTAGTTGATCGATAAAAAAAATGCCTTATGAATTTTGATTTGATACTTCAATTTAAATGGCGGTAATCGCGTCACTACAACAAAGCAGCCTACCAATTTTTGTAATTGTCCTATAACTATGCTCGTACATCATTTTTCGGTTGCAAATCGTAAATCAAAAGACAAACATTTTATACAAACTTTTTTAAAAGAAAAACGTATGTCAACAATATGCTTGTCCTTTTATATATTTCTCACTTATCAGACAAACGCTGCTCTTTTTGTTCTCTTTTTTTCCTGTTTGTCATCTCAATTAGTCGGTAAAAAGTCACTCGAAGAATCTCACATGCAACACGAAAATAGACTTTGTATGTATGCCTATGCGCAGTACACAATAATCTTTAAAAAAAAAGGTTACAACAGCATACAGAATACATACAGTATCATTTTTGTCATAGAAGGTAGAAAAAAAATCTTACTGGATGGTGGTGTAGTCAATGCATCGTAAACTTTTTTCTTTTTTTATTTCAATCGTTAATGCCTGGCTATACAAAACTGTTGTCGAATAGACGCAGAAAAAGAAAAAATTGTAAAAAAAAGAAAAAAAGAAACGATGCTGATAAGGTAAGTGCAACAGATACTTGCTGAAGATGTTTTACAGACGAATAATGTCCCATTCTTTTTATCCTATTTGTTGTTAGTTACAAAGAATAAAATAGAAAAGATTAGTCATCTTCGAATGAATTAAGAAGACTTAAACGATACGATTGACTACGTCTTAACACATGTATTATTGAAGTTACTTATTCTTTTATCTTGGCTTCGTTTAAAAGCATAGCTTTTGAAGATTTCAAATAATCAATATGATAGAGTAAAATTTTTTCGTTATAAATATACGTTAGTCAAACTAAATCGTATTGTAATTTTGGTTTCCAAGTTATTTTTTTTATTAATCATACAAAGAATGTAGGTCATCTTGTGCCACAATGTACATCTTAGAAACTTTGTTTGTCTAAAAATTTCTATGGATCCTATATATGTATTGTAAGAAGCACTGTATATAAAATTTATCAAAAGTTTGTTTGAACACTTTATATGAACACAATCACTACTCGGCAATTATTTAAATACAAAAAAAAAAATTACATTCTCAACAAAAACCATTTTTTTATCAAATAATAGTTTGCACTATACACTATTCTGTTGCATATCAAATTGTTTAAAATTTCAAATTTTCTACAATTTTGAATGTTTATCTTTCTCATTCAAATAAAATTATCTTACACATATATGTATATATTGCATTACATTATCTATCATTTATTTTTTAGTTATACTGAATAGATACAAAGAAGAAAAAAAGAAATAAGACAAACAAAAATTGCAAGAGACAAAACTCATTGCCTATAAGATATCATTCTTACATTTCGAACTATATATATATACATGCATGAAAGACAAATTTATAATGAACAATGCATTATATCCCAAATAAGAGAACAAAAAGAAAAGTAAAGAAAAGAATACATATTAATTTCATATATTTTTAAAATTACTGCTCTTTGGAATTAATAATATTTGTTGTTGTATAACCAAGATCATTTGCTAATTCACCAATATGTGATGGACTAAGAGAAAAAAGATCATAAGTAAACATATCATTTTTTGCTTTTGTCATTGATAATGATGATATATCAATTAATTGATGTCGTTTAAAAAAACGAACAAATATTGTAAGATCATTTATTGAATTTAATTGAAAACGTTTATAAATATATATAAGTTTATAACGTAAATCATCATTAGTAAGACTAGTTGGTAAATCTTCTTCTTCATCTTCTTCTTCTTCATTAATATCATCAATTGATATATCACTATCATTTGTATCTGATTGTTCTGAATGAGATATTTGATTTGATGTTATTTGTATTGGTTGAACAAGAATTTGTTCATGAGCTAAATTACAAGAATTTTTTTTTTTTTTGTTTTCTTTCAATAAAATATTTACGTGAATTAGATTCATCTGAAAGTTGAAGATGATCATTATCAATATCCATTGAAGCTTGAATATGATTATCTTCATTTTGAAAGATTTGAGTAGAAGGTGGTGGTGAATTAGTACTTGATGATTGAGGTGTATCAATATGAGATTGAGAAGGACTATGAATGAATTTAGGAGGAGTTGGTATTTGATTTTTTGATGATGATTTATGAGGTGATGATGAAATACGATTTGATTTATCATGTTGAGATGAATTTGAAGATTGATGTATTGAATGATCTAAATTTTATAAAAAAAATATTTTTCTTTTTCTTATTTCTCTATTCAAGATTGATTTATTTACTTTTAGTAATATTAGTTTTTCGTGATTGATTATTATTATTATTATTAGAAATATTAATAGATGATAAAGAACGATCTCGTTTTAAATTTGATTGAGTTTTAGATACTGATAATTGTTGTCCTTTTGAATCCTTTGAAATAAATTATATAATATAAATATATATAAGATTAAATTTCAATTTATCTCTTACTCGAATTGAATTTCGATTTAATGATGATGATGATGATGAAGAAGATATCGATGAACGAGAATGTTTTTCTACAATTGGTGGTGGTGGTGGTGGTGGTAGAGGTTTTTTAGGAATTTTTTTAAAATTATTTTTTGGAATTGATGTATTTGTATTATTTGAAGAAATGTTAGTTGATGATGATGATTGTGATAATGATTCTTGTTTAATAATAATATTTGAAGATGATTTAGTTGTAGAAGTTAATGTTTGTTCTGTTTTAATTGAAGATTTTTGAGAATTTTTATTTATTGATTTTTTTAATCCATTTTGTGTATTTGTAACTGGTTTAGGTTTGGATGGAGAAAGAATTTGTTCTTTCTTTTTAGTATTATTTAATATTGATTGAATAGAAGATTTAATATCATTAGTTGATTGAGATTTAATTAATTTTGTTGATGGACGTGTTTTAGATAATGATAGATCTAAAGAATAAATAAAATAAAAGTTTTTTCATTTTTTTTTTTTTTTTTTAAAACTTATTCTTACTCTCAGTTTTATCATTATTAGTTGTTGTTGTTGTTGTTGTTGGTTGATTTGATTCTTTAGTTGATAAATTTTTTGTTGTTTTCGTTTCTAATATAGATGATGATTTATGTGATACTAATTTTGATGATTTAGAATTCACTGTTGTTTTACTAATATTTTCATTCTTAATTATTGATTGTACTGGTTTTTTCTTAATATCATTTGTTGATTGTTCAAGTTTAATTTTTTTATTATTAATTACATTTACTGTTGCTACTGGTGAACTAGGTCGTTTTTGTTGTGGAGATTGACGAATAACTGGTTCATGTATTGATACTTGTTTTTCATTTATATCACTTTCATCAGTATCCGTATTATTTGATGCTATTGGACCACTATCGACTATTTTCTATATATAGAAAAAAAACAAAACCATAATTTGATGAAAATAAAGAATTAAAAACTTACAACAACAGTTAAACGACAAACACTTCGATGTTCTTTACTTTTGTTATTCATTATATTTTTTTAAAAGGCTCACGGTAAAATATAATAATATTATAAGAGAAAAAGAAACAGAGGTTGATTTTTATACGAATGTATATTTTTCTTTTGAGTCATGTTGCACAGCTGATTTACGCCTTCGGTTTTTTCTTTTCTTTTATTTACTTATTATGAAAGAAAACCTTAATAAGGGAAAAAAAAGTAATATTCATATAATCGTGATTTTGATCATGGGTTTTTTTTCTTTGATAAATGAGACAAAGAAACAAGCTTTCTTAAGCACACACACACACACACACACACACATTTCTTCATTTATGTAACATAAATAATAGTGAAAAATAATCAACTTACACCGCCAGCAGCAAGAATCTTTTGACGAAATTCAGAATCAGGATTATAAAAAGTACAACGATATTTGCGTACATAACTTTCTTTTTGTCGATATGGATGTCCATCAATATTTTTATGTAGATCAAGATCATATTCAATACGAAATTTTTTTGGTTCCTTTTTTGTTTTAAAATATATATCGATTGGCTAAAATAAAGCATATTCAAATAAAGAAAAACAAAAAAATAAAAAGAAATATTATTACTAAATGAAAACCAGCATAGCCAGTTTCTTGAATAGCAAATGGTGTTGATTTTAATTCTAAACATTATTTTAAATATACACACAAACAGATATATATACATATATGCATTCATTAAATATAAATCTACCTCGTTTATTATTAGGATATTCAGGATGAAGATAAAATACACAACGTTGTATCAGACAAGTTAAATCACCATTAATATCGACTGCACGTAAATATACTTTCCAATCATGAGTACGTGGTGGATTATGAATAGTTGTGGCTTCTGATCGAATTATAGAACTATGTCCGACTTCAAAATCAATTTCAACAATCTGTATACAAATAAATAGAAGCACTTGTTTTCTTTTTCTTTTTTTCTTTTTTTTGAAGCAATGAAAAACAAACCTCACTAACATCATCATGATCACTTATCTTGGCCATTTATCAATCTAAAAGCAATATTTCCTATTGTTTAGATTTTTTCTTTAATAATATTTGAAAATTTTAAAAATATTCAATCGTATTTTTATTAAAAGTAATTTTTCTATTTATATATATATATATATATATAACTTATTAACAAAGAATAGAAAGAAAAAATGACAGAAAGAAAGAAAAAGAAGTATGAAATATCCAAATGATCTTATCCAAACGTTATTATACATAAATAACGGATGACCAATAATATTTTTTTTTCTAATCATTATGATTATTCTAGTCTCTGTGTTACATTGTATAAATGATAACTGGAAAGAATCTCTTTTTAAACATTTTTTTGATCTTATCAATATTTACTGACATCTTGTTTTATTTTCTTATCATGTTAATATCAATAAGACAATGAAATATGCTTTCTTTTCTAACAAAAGAATAAATGTCAAGGTTTATTTTTAATACAATCAATCTGTTACTAGCGAAACATTTCTTGTTTTTTAAAATAGTCAAAATATTGATCAATATTTACTCTAACTAAGATGTCGCTTATATAAGAACGAATTGATATTTAAAATATTGAACAAAATCTATAGAATTGTTACTTTATACGAGACACCTATACAAAAATCCTATAAAAATTCGTATAGTCTTATAGTATACGGTTGAGGATACATGATTTTTGCAAGCTATTGATTGATTCATAAAGCATATTAGTCTTATTATTCAATCGAATGATAGATAAAAACAAGTCTTTCACAATAAGAAAAAACAAGTTTGATTAATCGTGGGTAACAATAAGAAAAACTGTACACAATCCATCGAATTTAAGGTGAAAAGAATACCTATACAGCTCACTTGTATGCAAACTATTTCTCATCTATTACATATTATATATCAAACATATTAAATACAGACTTTTCACAAAAGTAAATTGTCGCATGATAGTTGTCAAAATGAATTTATCCTGTACGATTAACAGTGAACACACTGAATCTGGATATGTATCTAGATTAGAAGCTAGATGTACCGTATAAACCTTGTATAATAGCGTTCTAAAATATTCGATTTATCGTTAGTTAAAAAGTGCATTTCGTTTATAGGTGAATGATCATAGGATTCATTTTATTGCTACCAAAAAAGAATATGAAAGAACATTACCTATACACTTACACTAGATAAATAAAAAATTTTATTTGATGGATTCAAGTAAAAATAATGAATGGCATAGAATAAATAGCAGTGTCAATATTTTTCCAATATCTCATTCAATTCTTACCGTTTTGGAACCGGTTTTTTATCAAACAAATTATGCTTTCAATTCTCTACAAAACTATATATTTCTATCAATGAAAGTATGTTCCATAGTTTTCGAATACTCAATAGAAAAAAAACATCAGTTCAATATGTTCAATTTTCCAACTAATATAAACCTGTTTTTAACATATTCTTATCACGCTTTTTAATTCCCAAAGTAGTGTCGTTTTTTCTATTTTAAGTTATTCCAAATTACTACTTAAAAATTTTCATTTCAAATATAATAGTCTAACTGATTTCTGCGTTGATTGTACCAAGCTCGATAAATATTACCAAAAAAAAAAAAACAAACATTACCAATATTGTTTTTATATCATTCATGAATTTTATGTTTGTTTGCGGTGTTACGCTAGTTAAACAACTTCGGTATTGTTTGTATTTTGATAATATTCATCGGCCTTCGAACAACTGAAAATAGAAAAAAAAAACCATTACTTTGAGAATTAAAACCGGTGATAGCAATTTTTCATCAAAAAGCCTAAGTTGGATAGTTGAACATATTGAACTAATCTTTTCTATTGAGTATTGGAAGACTATGAAACATGCTCCTCGTTTATAGCAATATATATATATACATATAATTTTGTAGCGAATTAAAAGCATAATCTTTTGATTAAAAAAAAAAATCGGTTTCAAAATAGTAAGAGCTGGATGAAATATTGAAAAAATACGGACACCGTCATTTATTCTGCGCCATCTGTTATTATTTGAAACACTATGAATATTCAGGTTCTAGTCTCTTAAAGTAGTGCAAGAACAAGTACTTAATTATATTATATTCAACAACATCAAACAAATAGCAATAAAAAAAATGATTTTAATAAAAATTCTTTTGTAAAAATATTTATAACCTTATAGCAATTTAACAAAAATGAGCAAATTGACGTTTATCCAATTTTTAACGTTGGCAATAATCATTTATAAAAAGCGTACATTGTTCTTAAAAACAATTTTATAAATCTAGAATTTATAATATTGATTGACATACCATCATTTCTGAATATTTTAAGTTTCATTTTTTTCCTTGATCTAAATGAAAGAGTTATTCCACGTGAGTATTTTTATTTTTTGATAAGATTTATTTAGCTCATCGTTTCTTGTTGATGCTCAATTCGCGATGATGATGATGAAAATGTGACTATTCCATCGAATAAATGAGAGCAAGAAAGACTAGATGATTTATGTCTCTTATGAGAAAATAATGAAAAAACTAATGATCGATGTTTATCTTTTGATTGATCACGACATAGAAGATAAAAAAAGACTGATGTCGCGAAAATGTAGATCAAATAGATCTATATACTTGAATCATGGTATGACTTTAACTTGTACAATATAAATTTTTTTCTTATAGTTTCATTTCATATTATATTTATTGTTTTCGATTTTGTTTCTTCGATGACTTTTTACGACTTCATTGTTTTTGTTTTGTCTTCTTCTTCTCAATAGAATCGATCTATTTTAATTATAAATACTTGAAGTTGACGATAATGAATTCGATGTTTTTTCGTCATGGTAAGCGATGTTGTCTTTTAGTTGATTTCTTTATCGATGTGTTTGATCATACATCATTAATTAACGATAAAGAACTTGTAAATTTGGTTGATTCTATATATTACTCACTGATAAATAGAAATATTGAGATGCCAACAGAGTGAAAAGCGTTTATTTCAAAATACACAATAAAAAAAAATGAAAACTCATCAGACAATTTATATAATATTTGCATAAAAAAGAATTTTGATAATTCATAGGAATCTTTTTTTGATCATATTTGATAATTTATATTTTCCACAAAAATATTTCTGATTGATTCTTCATACTCTTAAAAATTGGTTCCATTAAACAAAAGTCATGATAATAAAGAAATGTTTTAGGATATTTCTCAATAACATTTTTGATAATTAACTTCAATTGGGATTAACATTAGAAGATATGAAATGAACAAATAATACCATGAACAAATTTAGATGTGCTTATTTTCCACACTTCTTCTAGTAGATTATTGAGTTTGAAAAATTTTTCATTTAACAAGCTGTCTGTGAATCAGTGTCCAATATGGGTCAGTTTTTCATGACTAGATCCAATCTCGAGGTCAACTTTTCTTTTCCGGACCCGACCCGATCCGATTCGGAGATAAGTTCTTTTTTCTGACCCAACATGATCGTAACTTAGGCAAACATATTTTTGAGAATTAATTCGAATTTACTTCGTTTAAAAACAAAATCAGTTATCATTCAATTTCAGCCAGCTGCGTTTTATTTTTTTCCCTCAACGTTCTATTTCATAATCTTTTATTTCATTTGCTTGGTTGAACATAAAAAGAGAATGTCATTTACTACGTCTGGAGAAATATTTGATCGTCGTTCAGAGATAAATTGACCGGCCACACTAAATGTGCGTTCGATGCTTGCCAATGTTGCTGGCATAGTTAAAGTTTGGAAGGTGACTTTTATTAAAGATGGAAAAGAGTCGGACATCACTTTCCAAAATTCATGTATATTGTCTATGTTTGTTTCATGATGGTCAAATTTTGGAAGAATCCTATAAGATCCTACGAAATAATATAGAAGTTTCAAAAATAGAAAAAACTTTCTCATAGTAGTTACTGTAGTATAACTATAGAATGTACCTAGAATGAGTGCAACGCGAGTTTCTTCAGTGATTAACTCAAGAAAACTTAACTGCAATTCAACAAGCTATAGATCGTACTTTAAGTAATCTTCGATCTATTGATGTAAGAAGATTGAGTACGTTCATTTCAGATAGAATTACGATCTGAACATCATAAGATCTATCGATGCTATTTAACATTGCATACAACGATAACCATCGTGTTTGATTTTCTTGAATAACACATAAACCACTTTTTTCTTGTATTTTTTTGTTCAGACCGGTTTTTTTGATATATCGAATCATTTTTTTACATCTATTAATGGTTAGAACTACTTCACGTAATGGGCCAGTACATTGATCGTCAGATGCGTTATCGGATTTATCAGATTTCTCTTCTCTCTTTCTTTTTCGAGTAGATGGAAGTGTATCAGTATCAATGGTATTTGGGCACTAAGTTGATATCGAAAAAATTAATAAATCTTAAAATTTCATGTTAAGATGGATCTCTTACAGATGAATGTGCCTAGAACAACATTATGTATTCGATGACCAATACAATGCACAATTTGATCCGGTGACAGAGCTGCTTTCAAATTTGAATCACGATCAAGAATGAAACTTGCTGATTTTCGATACTGTTGAACATCGAATTCGTTGAAAACAACATCAATCAATTTGGATATATATAAATTCTCTGCAGATTTTTTTGCATGTAAGAACTCACAACACCATAAATCAACAGTATGCATAGTAGAATCTTTCATAAAAATAGCTGTCATACGTGTAAATACAATATGAATGCATCCAATTATGTGAGAGAGAGAGAGATTTTTTTTTATACCTAAATGTGCTTGCTTTTTGTAATGATCTGTTCAAAGATCTAGACTAAAAGCATGTTCATCACGAGATCCTGCTGCTGCTAAACGAGATGCTACTTTTGGCCAAGCAATCTCAACCAGACTTTGAACGCGTTGCTTGACGATCTTTACACAAGGCAAAATCTTTTCTGCTATTATCTTTTTCTCAAATGAACGTCCATAGCGAGCACCAATATTCAACAAAACTGCGATATCATG